TTGTAATGGTTCTTTTATATTGTTATCTGCAATATGAATTTCATTTATAATGATTGCAACTGAGTTTAATTTTAGGTCTGTAAACGTTTTTGTCATTTTGTAGCACTGTTCAATTTTGTTGCTATTTAGATTAAAGTATAATTATCCTTTTTGGTTGGTTGATCCTTTGAAGTTTATCCATGATGAAAACAAAGGGTTTGGTCCAACTGTTTAAAAAGGAAAAGGTAACTTGCACTAAGAAGGTACTTGAGCACAGAATTTATCTTGCTTGTAACGAAACCTTTTCATTACTCTATTTCACGGGAGACACTTCTAATGAATGAACCACTTGTGGGCAGAAAATTTGAGATTCCCTTCAATTCATGGCTTTTTAAGACCTTGAACGTTAAAATTGTTTTCTTTGCATAAAAAGACGTTTAAAGTGGAGTCACTAGGCTTAGACTGTTTGGTCGTTCACCTAGACGGCGTATTAAGCCCTAATTAAAAGGAATATTCTTGGACGTTCAATCTTTACTTGACCTCGATGGCTGACTGGTAACGGATCAAAGAATGCCATTATTCCGAAAAGGTCAACTTGCTCCACATGAGCTTGTCTGAAGCCAAATAAGGCCTGGTTCAAACGTCGCACTTCTCATGTGCCCAACCTAACTCGAGAATTAAGCACACGAGGGGCGCGACGTTTAAATCCATTTGGTATGGCAGATTTAGTTAGGAGCGGCAAACTAGTTTGGATCGCCAGAGCTTGCCGAGCTGCACGACTCCAGCACGGCACGGTTTCAAGCGTCGAACTTGTCATGTACCGAACTCAATGCATAATTATATTTCATTTATTTTATTTTGAAAATTAATCTCATAACATTGGATTCTCGTCGCCGTTTTGCTCTGTTTCTTAATTTTAAACCAAGATACTTCATGTAACAATCCTAAAACCCATTTGGCGCGACATAATTAAGTTCGACGTTTGAAACGGGAGTCGCGCTAAACATGCCGAAGTGTCGCTCCAAACAGGGCACATCAGAAGTGCGACGTTTGAACCAGGCCTAAAAGGTTCAGTCCAAGATTTCGCTATTTTTCTGAAGTTTGATTCCAACTAGCTAAATGTTGCACATAAATGAACAGAAGGACTCAACAACGAAATTGCTAACTTTGCACTGGTGAAAAATAGGAGACGACGAAAAACTCTCTAAGTTTAGCAAGAAAATGAAAACTAGATCAACAAGAAACTCGCTAAATGTGACACCGAAATGAAGACGAGGACACGACGAGAAACCTACTGAATTTAGCTTAGAAACGAAAACGAGGACGAAAAAGATGAAGTCGCTAAATATGCCGCCGAAAAGGAAACGAGGTCACGATTGGCTATCTTGCTAAATGTGGCACAGAAATGAGGACATGACTGCCAACTCGATAAAAGTCACCAAAGAGAGAAGAACAAGAAGACCAACCCGCATATCGATACGCACAAACAGTATCGAGGGGAGGACACGGCGGCTAGCTCTGTGACAACGAATTAGATACGAGGACGCGATGAAGAACTGCTAAATGTGGTATTATAAGGAAAGCAAAGAAAGGACGACTAACTCTCTAAATATGGCACCGAATTAGAAACGAGGACACGATGACAAATTGTTATATTATGACATTGGAATAAAAACGAAGACACGGCGACGAATATGCTAAATGTGACACCGAAAGGAAAATAAGACTCATTTCAAACCGAAGTGAACCCAATCTTGCATCGCTCTGCACTCTTTTATATAAGAAAATTGTTCATTAGAATATTTAGGCTTAGGATCGCAAATTTTAAAGAATAGAATTTTAGAATTTTAAGAATATCATCCTTAGCTTGCCTTTCTGTGTCAAGTTTTCAGTCATTGCCTGTTTTGCCATGTTCTCAATCGCGAATCGCGTGATTTACATTTCTCATCTTTTCAAAAAGCATGGTAAGAAATTCAGTAAGCAATTTCTTAACTGCTTTCTGCATTTTGTCACAAAACGTTGCTTAGCGAGCTTCTTAACACAAAAACATGATTTTATTTAGTTTACTTCCCCCAGTCGCTATATTAAATTTTTGTTAACCTCAACAGATAAAGAAAACGCAAACATTTATCGCAGAAACTCAAAATATCTTTTTCAATAGAAAATGAACATTTAGAAGGAAGCTTTCCTTTTCATCTGTGAATATTTGCTATAATATTGGTTAAATAGGAAGAGATATTGCTATTTCTGGTAAGAAATTTCAAAACACCGAAGTAATAGTTTGAAAAATCAAAGTAAACAACAGTTTGGTATCTCAACATCAAAAGTTTCTTAATTTTTCACGCAGATTTTCAAGTTTGAAAATACGGGTCTAGTGTTTTTTTATAGAAAATTTTCTATTTAAAAAAAATTATCGGTCTTTCAGTCGTTCACATGAAAATATTTCTTCTTTTCTTTGACACAGGGACGCAGCATTTCTTCCCTACCAACTTTGCTTTCTGCTAATCCATTCTTCGCAGTTTACTAACTATTTCCTTGCCTCTTTGTACTTGTTTTGATATCAATAATGCTTTGAGCCTGTATATAGCGACTATAAATATAAAAGGATATGGTTCCTTCATTTCCAAGGCTGGTGCCTTCATTACAAAGACTTACCAGAACAATGGTTTGATACGTCATGAAGCTATCAATACTGATGCTGTTTGTTTTTCATGATTTTTACCGCTTAATGTGCGATTAAAAATTTTGAAAATGAGTCGGAAAGGCAAGAGATTATAGAATAACAATTAGAAAGATAATGAAATCACGTAAAGGAAAAACAAAAAACAAGCAGAGGTTTTCGTAACTTCGCTCTTAATATCATAGAAAGATACCGACAAAAGCCAGGCAGTGTTATGTCCGCAAGATCAGCCCATAGAAAAACAAGTCCATAAATGTGCCAAAGGAAAAAAAAATTTTCGAGACTCTCTTAATATCAACTAAGCAAGATTTATTACCAACGCTGTCTTCGTAATTGGTAGCTCAATTATTGAATAAACACTTGTAACTAATGAAATATCTTTGGTATTAACGTACTAATGCTACCATTATCAGGGGGAGAAGTAATGAGAAGTCATAACAATTACTGAAGCTAGCCGAATATCTTTAAACTGTAAAGGTGTCATATTAACTAACAATTTTATTAATTTAGGTATCTTGCTTGTTGATCTTTGCTCTGGCCTTAGCTTGGCTTATGCTACCGATATTTTTATGAAATTTTCATTCGTCTTAATTGGATTTGCTACGATTTCAAGCAAGATCAGCTTTTCTCTAATATGGTGTAATGTATCCGGCCACTTTATAAAACGTACGAAAATCTTTCCCTTATAGTCGATAAAAGGTATTACATTGTATAGATGCTGTTAAAAAAGAAGTACCCAAAGAGAAAAACAATCTTGTTTTGAAGTCTTGCACTCACCCTCCTCCCTCCCCAGTATTCAATGTTGATATTTTTGCTGTTTAAATGCGCACGCTCCAAATTTGAATAGGGGAGGGGGCTAGGTGTTGAAATCAGTAATGTAGAGCCAAAGAATGTAGAGGGGAGAGCTTTCTCTATATTGTATACAAAATGAACGTTTCAATTGTTTTCGTTTGCATGGCTTCTCAATATCACTTTCTTTACAATTCCATTTTATCTAGGGTTAAATCATTTTCCAATGTCTACCTGTTACTTGAAAAATCTTGTAAAAAATTTAGAAAGATCTTGAAAATAAAGAAGTTAAAGTAGTAATATTTGCCAACATTTATTGAGTTTTTAGTTATCAAGAGGGCTATTGAGATCACGCAGCCCCTCTTCGAAAAGTAGAAGGGGACTGAGCCCCCTAAGCCCCCCCTTCTTCTACAGCCCTGGTTGAGATATAGAGTAGACTCCGGTTATAGTTGAATCAATTGTTGCTTTGAAATTAAATGACTGTAAACAAATGTGACAGTAAGCGGAGCTAAATTCAATAGTAGAGTGACTTCAAGCAGAATGACTATAAGCGGAGTCGACTGTACCTACTCACTACATATGTTTTTAAGCATCTTTATCAACAGCTGCATGTAGGTTTGTAGCCCATCTTCAGAGAACCATGTTTTAGTCAAAATTCTATTTCGAATTAATACGTCTACCTAATAACAAAATCCTGAAATTAGGTCTTATATGTCTAATACATAGAACGAGCCTCTTTGACGTTCCCCTGTTTAGCTGATGATGTTAAACTAATGCAATCTGAAGTTTATTACCGGTTTATAAAGATATTTAGAAATGATATTACTTTCATGTAAAATTTTTCTTTCAGAGAAAACTCATTAATTTCGAACTTGACAAAGAGTCAATTTCGGAATCAGCAGAAGGATTGAATTAAATTCTCCTCTTGAATGACCCTGTACCCCTACCCTATATCTTATTGTTCATGTTTTTCTCATATAGTCTTTTGTTTTATGTAATAGGCACTGGCTAGTCAAGCTATTTGCCATTTATATCGTCCTTGTAATGTTGTATTGTTGCGTAATGTTGTATTGTTGCAAAGTAGTTAGATAAATATATGAATAGATATGTAGTTAGAAGAGTATAGAATGAATTTATTCCCCAATTCAGGAGTGCGCTTCCTCCCTGCTGCTTTACTAAAGACAGCTTCGCTAGAAGTTGGGCAAAACTCCATCTTGATACTTCTATTCTAAAAAATAACTTCAAATTTCCATGACCGTTTTCTACAAAAACGTCAAATCAAGCACCCCAAATTGTTCTATCGATTTTCAAAATGCGGTTCGTAGATAGTTTTTAAAATGATTGATGCGAAGTTGTTGGGTAATTTTTTTTCTACCGAGCCTATGAAGAAAGTTTTTAGAGCACCGAGAGGCTTTCCTTTTTTATCTTTCCTATGCCTAGAATTGCATAAAGCTTTAATAAAGTAAAGTGCTCCCCATTAACGGCTAGAGAACATTCTTTTTTGACATCAAAGATTTCACAAAATCTCAACTATACATTGCTTATTTTTCAGATTTTTGACTGTTGGAAGACAGCCAAAGACCTTAACAAGTAAGTTAGCCTAATTATAAACATTTTTAGAATATAAAACACCGAAAAGCACTGAGAACAAACAACGAGTTACAGAAATTTGGTAATTCTTAGGAAGCCCTGCATACCGGGGCGAAATATCAGCATAACATTTATGATTTATTCGTTATGTTCATTTATGTTTATGCGTAGTGGTGTTCTTTATTCTAAGCGTTTATCCACTTCTTCGTGAGAATGTTTTTGAGTCCGTCCAGCAGTCTTGCTACCATGTCCTTTTCATTCCTTACATTTATACATTAAGCCGAAGGGATGAGCTGCCCAAAATCTCTGACAAATTAGCCTCGGAAAGACAAGAACAATGCTAACCTCGATGACGAGATGAATGACCACGATCGATACTCCTACGCAGTTAACAGATCATCATTTTATCAACAGAGCATTCGGGGTCTCGTTTTCAGACAGCGGCTGCACCAATCAGGACCAAGTTTCAGAAAATGCAGCAATGTAGAATGCACAGTCAGCTGCATTTTTCCGCTTATAGTGCAGTGAGATTATCAGTAAAAGCTGGTGGAACAGTCAGCTGGAGACACCTAACTTGATCTAATCTTCTCTCGCCATGTGGAATGGCCTTTGAAATTCCTTGTCCGCCTCTGCTTGAATCGTCCTTCTTTCAGCAAGATAGTAGAATAGCTGATGGCTTTTATGAAGCCAAGTGCGCATGGTCAGCTTTTCTCTCCATTTTCTTAAATTGAAACGACAAATCTGAAATAATTATCCAAAGTATTTTGTCTATTCGACTTTCCTCAGAGAACAAAATGTCAGATGTAATAATCAAAAATATTTTCTAAATCAGCAGTGAAAATTTCAAAACTATTGGTCAAGCGATTCAAATTGACACAGGGGTGATCACCATGTCCTGAATGGGAGAAGGGTTGAACAGCGAGTCTCGGGGGATAATTGACCTTACCTAGAGCTAAAGTATTGTTGAAGTGATTGCGAGGAAATTCGTTGATATGTGTGGGTGTCGGAATTAAGATGTGGGGATCACCCAAAATTAAAAAGTTATGATCGCTTATTTTGTTTGATTGAAAGTACGCGTTTCCTGACGTTCAGAATGCCTTGACCTACAAAGCTTTTTAGGTGCAGGTTTCAGGTCTCTTTGGTCAACTCCAGGTGTTATTTCGACCTACTTCCTTGCTTAATTTGCCGAATCAAAAGTTGCTTTTTCCTTTAAAAAGACCTTTAAAAACAGCTGCTTAAATTTTTTCGATAAATTTCTGTCGCAAGCAAAAGTCTTCTTTCTATCAGGGACAAATCTTTCATTTGGTTGTAAAGTCTGCAAACTACTCACTCGTTGAGAGAAGCTACGGTTACGGATCTCAGGCCATGTTTCCATGTCACCCTTGAAGCAGGCATTTGGATATCTTTACTTTGATGCAAAGTAAATGTTTGCACGCTGCTTGATAAAGCTAAACTTATGTTCTCTTTTAAAGCAGTCACAGCTCACAATTTTGCCCAGTTACCTGCTAATGTTTGTCAAATCACTAAAGTAAAGAATATGTCCTCCTTGATGCCTCATTTCTACAACATTCTTGGCAGATGTTTGGCCTACCTTACGTTTTGAATGTATGTCAGTTTGTATGCTTTTAATGGATTCGCACTGTTTGCCCTTGACTCAACACGTCCCTATTTCAGGAGGTAGAGCTTTTTCGTCTTTTCTGGCGAATAGCATGTTCAACTTGCTTGGCCTTTTTGCAACATTGCCCTGACCTTCAGCATTAGCTACTAGTCACATGTTCTCAAATATTGTCAGTAGCTAGAGACATATAAAACGATCAATTATGTTTCTTGGTCGAAGGAGTTAGTACATAGCTGATTTAGGCCCATTTTTTAGTTTTTCCGTGGCAAGCACACCACAATGCAAGCACAATGCAAGCACATTACAAGCGAATTGCAAGCACAACGCAAGCATAACAAATGCATATTGCAAACACATCTTCGACAAAACGCAGGCACATTGCAAGCACATTGCATGCATATATCGATTCTATGGCAAGCACATCACAATCACAACGAAAGCACGTTTCAAGCTTATCGAAAGCACATAACAAGAAAAGTGCAGACACCTTGCAAGCGCATTGCAATTCCATGGCAAGCACACCACAAGTACAATACAAGCAAATTGCAAGAATATCGCATGCACATCACAAGCAAAACGCAAACACATTTCATGCCTATTTAAAGCATATCACATAAAAAGATGCAGGCACATTTCCATTCCATGGAAAGCACAACGCAGGTAGAACAAAAGCACATTGCAAGCATATCTCCAGCATATCACATGCACATTGCAAGTACATCGAATGCACATCACATGCACAGCGCAAGCACATTGCAAGCACATCTCCAGCATATCACATGTGCATTGCAAGCAATACGAATGCAGATCTCAAGGTTCGCACGTAATATACCTTCGCAAAAATATTACAAGCAAGATCTAGGCACATTACAACTACACTGCATGTGCATCTAATTTTCATGGCAACCCAAGCACAACGCAAGCACATCGCCAGTACACATAGTCTTGAAAACAAAGGACATAATATTAAGGTGGAATTTTTTTTTGAATATTAGCAGGATTTTTGGTAGAAAAACTTAAGTCTTTATTTTCTTCTCACAGTGCTTAGTAATTCTATTTTTTCTCCTGCAGACCGACCATCATCTGCAACGTCGTACAAACGAGTTCTGGCTGCTGTTGCGTCACAAATTCAAGTCAACGATGGACAGGTATGAACATTTTAATTCTATTTTTTTTTACTTGCCTATCAAGACAAGGTAAAACACGACAACACACAACGGAAAACAATAAAACACTACAAAACACGACCACACTACACAACACGACAACACACTACACAACACGACAACACACTACAAAACAAGACACAACACAACACAACACAACACAACACAACATAACACAACACAACACAACACAACACAACCCAAGATAAGACAGAAAAGACAACACAACACAACACAACACAAGACAATAAAAGTCATCATGATATGATACAATGTAATGTTTTGCCTAGTAAGGCAAGGAAGAGAAAAATAAATTATGCCACGAAACTGAAATAGATGAAAAAATGTTTTCACAACTGTTTCGGCAAAGTATAGATATGATCAAAAAGTGGCTTCAAGAGTTTTATTTGAAATTTTCTTTGTATTCCGTGTAGCAACTGAACTGTTATAAAGTTGCATGTTCCAATCTATTTGTTTCTGTTCAAATTTTTTTTTAATCTTTGTCTTATCTATTTTTGTTTTAAGTTATTTGTGACAAAAGCCTTAAATTGCCATGTTTTGGTCAGATCTAACGTCCTCTTCACTTAGCCAAACTATATTTAGATAACTCAAAGATATGACTAATGTACGTGCGATTATCTAATTTTCTCTCTTAGCTGACCTATAATCTAATATTGTCAATGTTTTCAAGCTTTTCCCTTTATGTACCTTCCTGGCCTTTCTCAAGTAGGTGAAGTGTGAAATATAGTCATACAAGACGGAAATATGATAATGAATAATGCCATTTGGCTTTATTATATTCGCACGTCACGTGTATTAAATTGTCGTCTTCTAACATGTACAATAATCAGAAAGAGCATTCGTGCAACGATTATGTTGAGTGAATTGGAATCGACCCATATGGAAAGAAAGCAAATTTCTTCACTTATTTTTATTGACATAATTACTTTTACGGTGCTTTCCGATCATAAAAATGATAATAATAATAATAACAATAAGAATAATAATAATAATAATAATAACAATAAGAATAATAATTGTTGTGATTATTATTATTATTATTGCAATGATTTATTATTTTGATATATATGATTTGATATTTATGATTATAATGATTTATTATAATGATGATAATGATGATTTATTCAGTAAAACAAAAGAAAGCACCCAAAAAGACCAAAACCCGCCCGTTTTTCGGAAAAGCCCCCCAAATGGCCTGATCAACACTCAGATTCAAAATCTACACCAAAAACCACCCTAGTCAAAATAGGTTTGGTAGAATATTCTTCTAGGTGGCAATGCTCTCCCTCCAGCCACTGAACTATTCTTTCTGTTAGTAATGTTTTGATCAGCATACCTTCTGTTCTGATGAATAATCAATTTTTGAGTACTTGGATCTCTCCTTTTGCACAGCTATAATTATTTTTACTATTGCTCTACTGGATTGATTTTAATTGCTCTATTGACAACTCGTAAAACATTTATGTTTTGATTCTTCCTTGTTTTACGACTGCTCTTACTTTAGATCGTGAAACCTCTCGCTCCATCACCTGCAATACTGATTTCTACAGCTTCATCTCCCTGCTTTTTTACACAGTTTTTTCAAAAAGCGTACTTTATAGGAGTCGTAGACTTATTCCAATGCAGCAAATTTCTACAGGATTGGGATGGCGGTCGCTATCATGTGTTTAGACTACACAAACTTCATATTTGCTCCATGTAAACGGCCCATCAGCGACAGGCGTGGAATCTGAATAGCTAATGAAACCTTTTTAGCGGACACCTGTTAGACCGGAGTGACTGTCCGTTAAATGAAGGTTAATTGCACAAATCTTTGTCTTTTCCTCTATGATATCCATTTGGAAGTGTCTTTTGATGGTGTCCGTTGTTTAATAGGATCCATTACTGGAAGGTGTCCGTTGATGGTGTCCGTCAATGGTGTCCGTTGATGGTGTCTGTTGATGGGGTCCGTTGTTTGATTAGGTCCATTACTGGAAGGTGTCCATTGATAGTGTCCGTTGTTTGATTGGGTCCATTAATAGAAGGAGTCCGTTGATGGTGTCCGTTGTTTGATGGGATCCATTACTGGAAGGTGTCCGTTGATGATGTCCGTTGTTTGATTAGGTCCATTACTGGAAGGTGTCCATTGATAGTGTCCGTTGTTTGATTGGGTCCATTAATAGAAGGAGTCCGTTGATGGTGTCCGTTGTTTGATGGGATCCATTACTGGAAGGTGTCCGTTGATGATGTCCGTTGTTTGATTAGGTCCATTACTGGAAGGTGTCCATTGATAGTGTCCGTTGTTTGATTGGGTCCATTAATAGAAGGAGTCCGTTGATGGTGTCCGTTGTTTGATGGGATCCATTACTGGAAGGTGTCTGTTGATGATGTCCGTTGTTTGATTAGGTCCATTACTGGAAGGTGCCCATTGATAGTGTCCGTTGTTTGATTGGGTCCATTAATAGAAAGAGTCCGTTGATGGTGTCCGTTGTTTGATGGGATCCATTACTGGAAGGTGTCCGTTGATGATGTCCGTTGTTTGATTAGGTCCATTAATAGAAGGTGTCCGTTGATGATGTCCGTTGTTTGATGGGATTCATTACTGGAAGGTGTCCGTTGATGGTGTCCGTTGTTTGATTATGTCCGTTTATGAAAGCTGTCTGTTGATAGTGTCCGTTGTTTGATTGGGTCCATTAATAGAAGGTGTCCGTTGATGGTGTCCGATGTTTGATTAGGTCCGTTAATAAAAGCTGTTTGTTGATAGTGTCCGTTGTTTGATTGGGTCCATTAATAGAAGGTGTCCGTTGATGGTGTCCGTTGTTTGATTGGGTCCATTACTGGAAGGTGTCCGCTTTAATAGCACATGCAAATGGGCAGCCTGTGTGAGAAACCAGCCAGGACCAACAAAATATATTGATTTTTAATCAAATGCAGTTTTAGATTTTAAATATTTTGATAAAATAGACTTTACGGCGTCTTCTGCGGTAAATCTATCTAGATTTGAATTTTTTCTCGTGACATGCATTTTAAGAAGATGGTATACACCCGGCTTTGAGAACCTTTCCTTCCTGCAGCAGTGGATTTACCATTGAATCGCAGCCTCAACCACATTTTCGATTACAGCTTACGGTTTCTGAAATATTTTTCGGCGGGTTGCGGCCACTGCAATCTTTGCGGCTTCCGTTTTCTGATTCAGTTGAAAGTTCAAAAGGTTTTCGGTTGTGATTTGTCTTCGTATTAAAAAGAAAGAGAGTTTTTCAGGTCGAAGGGAGATTTTTAGATTTTTAGGTGATTTCATGTGGTTTGTCGCTCTAATCTTCCCATAGTAGCCTAATAGATCTTATAAGTCTGGAATGTTATACAGTCGTGCCTGGCTTGCATTTAGTAGGCGCGGGCTGACAGGCAGGTACCTTGACAGTGCTGTTTTCTGTAATAACGTGAACCTCTGCTTCCCCTACCTTCTTTGCTTTAGATGGCCTCTTTCTTTGTGCATGAGGTCTCTTAGTAGTGTTGGCAAAATCCCAAAGTCAGGACAGTAACGTCTATTGTTATCATTCAATGAAGATCTCATTGACCCATCAAGACTGTTCTCCATAAACCCAAATCCTATTTTTTTCACATTAAGCTAAGTACTCAACGAAGCTAACATGATTTTTATCATTTCATTAAAAGCCAAGTCTTTGTTGGAACAAATAAAGTTACTCTTTCTCCCACGTATCGTGATGGCTATTCGAATAACAAAATTGTTTGATCGATGATTTGCAATACCAATCTTTCCAAACGTTAAATTGGGTTATTTTCCTCCGATATCCATTAAGATAGGAAATGTCCGGTCCTGCGGGTATACACGACCCAAAGACAAGCCATACTTTCTTCTTATCCACATAATCGCCCTCATTATATCAGTTATCACTGTATCTAGCTGTTTATTCATATTTGTATGCTGCAACTTTACTACAGTCCCAGTTAGTGTCATTGAAACGCCCAAACAACGCCCAACCGCCCTATTTGAAGTATACAGTGTATTGTTTATGTTGCAGACAACGCATCTCCCCCCCCCCCCACACACACTTAGGAAAAATTGATTGTATTGATGGCCACCTTAAGTATGTTGCGGTCTCGATTTTGGGCATTTATCAAAATTTCCCCTTAAGTTTTTCTTTAGGAAAAGCTTTAGATATTCGATGTGTTATTTTGCACCCCAATTCACTTTTTGACAGTTAATAACTATGATATCGAACTGTCGGTTAATAACTGTCAAATCCTAAAGATCTTCTTTTCTTTCCTCTTTCAAGCACCAAAATGAATGTAAAATAAAAAAAATTCAGCATAGAATTTTGTGATAAATCTGGAAGTGTAGGGTCAATGTGAGTAACAAGAGAAAATTCGACTTGTTTTCAAAACGAGGCTGTTTATTGAGGCCTGAAACGAGCCCTGAAAACACATTATTGAAAATAAGAGAACGGTGCTAATGATATTTTGCAAAAATCTAGTGTTGTCTATGCGAAGTTGGCAGGCATTGAAGCTAGGTAACAGGTCTGAATGGAAAGAAATGCCTCTTCTTGCTATGTGGCCCCTTCATATACCGACGCTTTCAGTTCAATAAAGACGTTAAGTGAGATGACCCGAAGATACATTTCGATATCATATTTTGTTTTCCTTGCAAAAATTGAAATTTTCTGTATTTGTTCGTTCCATATTCAGTACTGTTGTGAACATGTTGGGTTTTTAGAAGGGTAGCTACGACAAATAGGGGACATCTCTACGGATGGGGAGATGAAAGGGGCACTGGGGTGAATACTGCTTTTATGTTCTTCTTTCTCAATGCTATTGATATACTACTGATATAAATAATTTTTTACTTATTTTCTTACACGAGTCAACATAAACTGCTTATGCAATCTACATTTATAGAAATTTTCTTTTAGAAGGAACAATTATTTTCTCCACGACCTTGTCCACGCTGATCAACTTTTCACTGAGGCCTAAAGTCTCCACTTTGCTTCACTTTGTTTCCACTGTCAAATGTTGCAATTTATTTTCTGTACAGACACTTTAAAACTATTTCAGGACAAATATCTACAAAGATAGTAGCCATTTCAAACCATTATCGCTGAACTCGAAAGGCCTTTTCCTCTACTGTTGATAACATTTCACTATTAATAGAATTAATACACTGGGCATAGGTGAGCAAATGAGTTAAGGATCAAATTTAATTTTGATTCACAAATAAATTGTTATCTTAAATTCATTTCCCATGGAGGAAGAGCTCTTTAAAAAAAATTTGTTCAAAAGTCTTTTCAAAACCTTTTAGACAAGTATTCGGCCTCGAACTGTTGTGGGGTCATGACGTTAACTTCATGCTTCTTTGAAGATGGTAAGAGCTGTATTTGGCTTTAAAGGCCGATTCCTCATCTTTGTTGTTGGTTATCGTGAGCTGATATGCTGTTGTTTAATAGGGTCTACTGGGGTAAAATGGGGAGGGTTTGGGTAAATGGCAAGGGCAAAATATCTGGAAATATTCTGTTCATAGTATTTCTTGCGGTACAAGCACTCCTTCTACCTTCAATGAAACGGCGAAAGTTGATTTATAAGTTCATGGTCTACTATTTTCCAGTATCCAGCGATTCCCATTCTACCCTCAGCCCAGCTATATGGTTTATGAAGATTGTTGAATAGCCAGTTGTTTTAAGATGACGAAAATATGTAAAACTTTGCGAATACACCCACTTTACGAATACACCCACTTTACGAATACACCCACTTTGATTTCTAATTTGTTTGGTTATTTTAGGGCTCCGGTTCTCATAGACGGTTTCGTTTGAATAAAATGAGGGTAATCAAGGCTTCAAGGTAGAGATTGGGGCTTTTATTGATGACATCAAAGAGGGGAGGGGGGTGTGACAGTTTTGAATTGGCAATTTGTGAACGTCTTTAATTTTCAACATCAAGGAGGGAGGTGATATTGTCTATTTTCGTTAGTCCCGGCGAATCGCGATTCCGCTTCCGGTTGATTTTCGTTTTGCCACAACAAATACTGTTGTGGGAATCTACGGGAAAAACAGTTCTGAAACCTTTTCTTGTTCATTCATAAGACGCACAAATATTTTTGTTTTTGTTTTACTTTGCCAGTGTAATGAAGTCATGTCTATTCAGTACATGCTCAATGAGTTTCTTTTCAGAATTGACAAAATATGGATAACAATCTGATCTTTCTGTCATTGTTCTGTCTTGTGGCAGTATAACTAGTTTTTTTCTGATTAGGCTTCGGCTATGCATGGAATGTTTTGTCGTAACGAGATTACGCCGATTAAGCTCCCTTTGAATTAGTTTCAAGTTAATCGCTTTGAGTTCTCCCAAATCATCCTCTTTATACTGTAAACAGGGTTTGGTCTGTACCTTACGTACGGATTAGATACGCACGGCCTTTTATGGCGCAGCTTCTGGGGGCATGAAGCCGCCAGTTGTCTCGTGGTCTTGTATCAGTCCGTTGATATCGCTTGCATAATAGCAGCGCCCATACCTACCCTTTAGGGACCTTGGAAGCGGGGAGCTTTAGGGCTTCAGCCTCCTAATCATAAATTGAGCCCCTCTTGATTATAGAGCTTGGAATGTTGAAAGCTTTCTAGACCCCCGTCTTTCCATAAAGCAAGCCGTTGCCCCAGATCTCCTGCGGTGCAGCACCTAAGCGAATTCTACCCAAACGAGATCATTCGCGTTTATCCTCCAACTTCAAAAAGAGACAACATATTATTATTGAAGAACTGATCGTATGTTGCTATGTTGGGGGCGACGAAATGATTTGCTTGAAATTGCAGTGTTGAGGATTTAATTAAAGATCTGAAAGATTTATTTGTCCTAGTAACGCATTAATGAAAAGGTGAATTTATCAATCAGGTTTAAATTAAAAAGTGCTAACATGGAGTTTTAAAGGACATAACATAGAAAGTATAAACTAATGATGATGAAATATCCAAAACAAAAACCTAGCAATTAATGCTTAGAAAACAAGCGGCTTTATTAGCAACTGCGATCAGTCTGGTAGTTCCACTATCTGAGAATTGTATTCTCTCAAACGCTACCAAAACATTTCTCCACCAATATTTTAAGCCCCCCTCCACTAATGTTGAGAAAAAGGAAGTTTGGGTGGATTCGTTTAGTTGCTATATTAGTGCAACAGGATATCTTGGTGATGAAGGGGGGGGGGCACTTATTCGAGCGGGTCGCTCATACGGAGGGTTGAACTCGTTCGAGGTTTTGCGCTGTCAGTCTTTTGCACATCTATAAAGAATGATTAACAACAGATGTTAAAAGCTTGTTCTTATTGGAAATTCCCTTTTACAGTAAACTTAAAACAGTTGACGAGAAGCCACTTAAAACAAAGTGTATTTTGCAATACGATAAAAGGATACTGATGAGTAATGATAAAAGAGAGGCGATGAAAACATGTTAAAATGATTTTATCTTACAATAAAAGGTGGACTGGTAGTGGTAGTCTTGTAGTGGTAGGGTGGTAGTGGTAGGTTAGTAGTTGTAGGCTGGGAGTGGTAGGCTGGTAGTTATAGACTGGAATTGGTAGGCTAGTAGTGGTAGGCTTGTAGTGGTAGGCTTGTAGTGGTAGGCTTGTAGTGGTAGGCTTGTAGTGGTAGGCTTGTAGTGGTAGGCTTGTAGTGGTAGGTTGGTAGTGGTAGGTTGGTAGTTATAGACTGGAATTGGTAGTGGTAGGCTTGTAGTGGTAGGTTGGTAGTGGTATGTTGGAAGTGGTAGGCTTGTAGTGGTAGGCTTGTAGTGGTAGGCTTGTAGTGGTAGGCTGGGAGTGGTAGGCTGGTAGTTATAGACTGGAATTGGTAGTGGTAGGTTGGTAGTGGTAGACTGTCAGTGGTGGACTGGTGGTGGTTGACTGGTGGTGGTGGGCTGGTGGTGGTGGGCTGGTCGTGGTGGGCTGGTCGTGGTGGGCTGGTCGTGGTGGGCTGGTCGTGGTGGGCTGGTAGTGGTGGGCTGGTGGTGGTAGGCTGGTCGTGGTAGGCTGGTCGTTGTAGGCTGGTCATGGTAGGCTGGTCGTTGTAGGCTGGTCGTTGTAGGCTTGGGTGGTGGTATGTGTCACCCGCTTTATGTTCTTTATAAAGAACTTGAAGAACTGTAATTGTCTGATGTTTTAACACTAGAAATACAATCAAGTTACTTAAAGTTTGAATAATACTCAAAATTCTCACTTATTGCCGTCGGACTTGTTTATCTTGCCGACAATGCCTGAAACGTCATTAATGTATTATCCTGATTGACTGTGACTGTTGTTAGTGAGTCTTCTTGACTGCCTTTCCCTCTCCCCTGTCCTTTTTAACTCCATATCTTTGTATACTAGTATCACTCTGCATGCTAATTACTTACCCCTTGTATACGTGACTTCATCGTTCCTAGATGCAGCCGCCTCATAACGTTCCGCCATCGATGACAGGAAGGCCATTAGTTGAACCTTTGCAAGATTTTGGAAGCATTTCAGCCTCTCAAAAGACCTGTGCTTCTCCTGAGTATAACAGCAGTGGTCAGCCAAACGTACATAATTTACCTGTTGCTGAGGAACATCATCTGAAATCACCAAAAAGGAAAAGGTATGTTTTTGTTGCTATTACAATGGATCTTTGATAGGGCAGTTTTGTAGAAGACAAGACAGCAACTATTCTCTCCCCCCCCCCCCTTCTAAAGAATCGTCGACTTCAAACACCACTAAGGAGGCCAACCATCTACGCAGAAAGGTTATCAATTGTTTAAAGTTTGAAAAAGAGCAGTTGCAGCCGAAACCGAAATATTTCAATTAACCGAATACTTTGCGATATTAAATTGTGTACAAATTCATGAAAGTTGCATGAACGTATTAAAAAGTAATCTAGTTGATATGTTGGAAGGCAGGGATAACTGATTTTTAAAGCTTTCAGTAGTGAACAGTCAAGCGTTATGGCCATCTGACTCATACAAAATACAAATTTAAACATTCCACACGCTGTTTCGTCGTTACATATAATGGTGTTTTGTCGTTACACACGCTGTTTCGTCGTTACATATAATGATGTTTTGAGCGCTACAGAACTTCTGCCACTTTTGACATCATTTAGCGGCTAGGTGCACTTGAAAGCAAACTTCTTTTAGCTGCAGCTAAAGCAAGTTGCCATGTGAGGGTTAGATCATGCAACTCAATCATTTGTATATTTATAGAAAGATTAGTTTGTGTTTCTGCATATGTTAGAAATTCTCTCTATAAAAGATTTTCTGGATGCACTGCCGCTTGGATGATTGCGAGAAGAACCTCAGAAGTTTTAGTAATTACTCTCGTTATATTGGGTTTTGCTTAAGCATTTAGAAGATTTTTGGGTAATTATAGCCACAGTAAGCCCACTCCAAGAGCGACATATTTTTAAAGTGATAGAAGTATAACTTGCCCACATTATGCAATCTTCATCCGTTTCAAAGAACACCTGTTGAACATATTAGGCAAAAGATTATCGGAAGGAAGAGTCTATACTGTGAAGAATAGTTTGCGTTCATTTTCTTTTGCAATATTTGTGTGTAGTGAATTTATTGGGAAAGTGTAGATTACAATATCAATTCAATTCAATATCAATTCAAATGTCGTATTCTACCTAAAAATACTCAAAATGTTATTTTCTCAAGTATTATAAAATTCTTATCCTGTTTTTTATTAAGATGATGTTTTTTGTATTCAAAACAAGACATTTCTTCTGTCAATTTTTATAACAAAAAAGAAAATTAAATAAATTTTTTCATCGACCTTAAATGCTCTATCAGGGTGGACGTAATCTTTGCTGAAAATTTTATTTTTATCTTGTTTCTTTTATTTCTTATTTGTGTCAAACCACAAATGACAATTTAAATGCTTTATTAAGGATGCTTTTGATTTTTCTATGTTGAGCTGGCTTTGTTTATCTTCAATTATATTTGTATTCTAACAACATCTATCTAACTGAACCCTAGAATACGACCAAGGAAATTAGACAGTAACGAATCTAAAGACCAAAGGTAAGTTCGGTTAGTTTCTGATTCCTTTGTTTACCCACTTTCACAAAGAGTAAGTTTTTCCCATACCATAATTCTTAGTAACAGTGTAAGACTTTTACATCATGTAAAAGTATGGACTTTTTACCCTTGCTCCGCGAGCCTCTGTTTCGCTACTGCCTCACTTTACGGACACTACAACATATAACATATTGAGGCAGTAGAATATTTGGATTATTATGCATCTCTTTTCAAGGGTCCGGAATTTTTTAATGTGCTGATGATGTGTATTGCCTTCATGGTTTTCAATCAATGCTGCGATTTAAAATTATTTTTTCTTTTTAGATCAGAGCCTGTCTCTTCCTGTAAGAAAATACAGGAAAGTGTAGACGTCTCTCAAAACGTTCCACTTCATGGTGAACTCAATGTATGTTTGTTTCTTAAAGTGTTATTCCTTGAACTTTTCTTTATCATAGAAGCAACAGTGTTGCTTACTTAGGGGTGCTCTTCAATTTCATTTCTGCGAATAATATTCTTTTGCTCATTATTTTCGATTGGTTTTACATCAAAATTGCTATTAGTGCTCAGACCTAATTCCCTGTTCGAATATATATATATATATATAGAAACATTTCCATCCAAATAGTTATTCAAGAAAATATCCTACCAGGATCAATTCTCACGTGCTTTGATAATTACGAGGGCATGATATGCATCTTGATTCTAATGTGTCCTGGTTTTGATAACAGAAAAATTATATAATTGTTATGATAATTACGTATGAAATATTATAGCTTTTAAGACGTCTGTGCGTAGGACTCAAATTATTAAAAACAGGTTTACAGGAAAACCTTCGACTGCTCTACTTCATCGCTGGGAATGTATTGTAATGATATCCTAACCAACAATATTATTTTCGGGTTTTTGCATTTGATTTATATATAGATATATATATTTAATAGTTGAAATTTTAACCAAATCACAAACATCGACCGTATTTTACATATGAGTACAAAATGGCTCGAGCCATGAGCATTTTATTATTATTTTAAACCAACAGGCAATCTTCGACACCCTCCTCAACTCACGAAGCCTTCAAGAAAAGATAGCTAACAACATCAATAAAGTTGCAACAGGGTGAGTTGCAGGAAAAAGGAAATTTTATAAAGATTTTAACAGAGATTAACGTTTACCATGCTTTAGTCTGATGTTAGATTTAATGTTAAGTAAATATGCAGTTTAATGTTAAGTGAAATGTTCTGTAAAACTTCAATTAATATGTTCAGTGAAATTTTGAATAAGATGTTCAGTAAAATGCTCAGGATAATATTAAGTAAAATTTTAGGGAAAGTCCCAAGTAAAATCCAAAATATAATATAGAGTAATGTGTTTAGAAAAATTTTAAATGTAATGTTCAGTAAAATGTTAAGTACAACTTTCAGTAAACTTTTAAATCAAATGTTTATTATAATGTTACTATCTTCATAGTGCTTTGTGTTTTAATTTTCTACCAAATTGATTATTTCTTTTAAGCAATTCATAATACAATTCTCGGTTACCATTCTTTATGTGTTACTTGCTATTAAAGGTAGACCGTACTTCGAATTCACTGAAATCTACTATGCTGAAATCTAACTCTCGATCCTATATCATATCTGCAAAGCCTCCTCCGCTCTTGGTGGAGTAAATTCACTCATTTAGCTTTCCAAGCAATTGGCTTCAAATTGCAAGAAAGTGTTTCAAAAAAGCTTTCTAGAAAGCCAGAAGTTTCTTGTGCAATCTTTCTCATGCGAGTGCCTTGGCGGTTTTCTAAGTTTTAATTGCTCTACAGCGCGCTAATGTGTAGCTATCTATTTTTTATTTTTAGTGCACACCTGCTTTCCACACGTGTTGATGAGGGTAGTTGCACCGAAAACGTAAGTTATCTTTTATTGTAATTATATGTCTTTCAGCCTTCTTTACTCAATAAGGCAAAATCAATTGATCAGAATTTCTCAAGCTTAACCATGAAATCTTTAATGGTAAAAACCTCCAGTCAAAGGTACAGATTGACCAGAAAATCTAAATCAAGATATGTGTTGTTCATCAACGATGACCAAAATGTTATGTTCTGCACAAAATGTAGCAGCTCCCTGTCATAGAAAGAGGTAAACGATTTTATGGCAAAAAACTTACAATACATTACTACCAAAATGTAGTATAATGATAATGCCATAGGGGGTATTAAATTTCATAACAACCCTGTAGGCTTCACAATTAATTCAAAGTCTGTTCCAAAAAGATGCAAGTCGAGACACGCAGGGAGGGTAAATATGTGCCAAGTGAGACACTCAGGGAAGCTCTCCATGTTTATGTCCACCCACCAACTATTTAGATATCCTTATCCTATGGTGATAAAGACTTCCCCAATGACATTAACAGAAATATATCGCGATTATCATTGAGGTTTATTCGTAAAACTGGTCGGCTTGCTTAAGCTCGTCCCTTATTTGCTACATGCCACCATCTTGTATTTTACACTGTTTTAGTACACATGTATGTAGTTAGATCTATGTTTAAGTTTCACGGAACCTTTCTCTTTTTTCTTATGTTTAATGGCCCCGGGGTAGACATAATACTTTCCTCTCCAGGGAATCGTCCTTAGTAGTGTTGTGAGTAATTTTCTTTATGCAAATTATTTTGTGATATATAATTGTAAATGTGATATATAATTTGTGATATAAAAATATATAATTTGAAAATGGCTTTGAAAAAAGCAAACATTTTACAACATACTTAAAGCTTTTTCGTCTGACACTCCTCAGAGCATAAAACGTCAGAATAGGTTCCGAAAAAACACGTTTGACAAAATATATACCCAGTTGTGGATCGAAATAGGCCAATCAGAAAAACGCAAGCACAAGACCGGTATAGTTGACCAATCAGTGCCGCGAGCCTAAAGAAAATTACCAATGGAGTCCAAGAGAGAAAACGAACTCCTTTTGTCTACACAATGGCGGCTTTTTCGTTTTTATGTAGATTGACTCCAAAACTGCTAGATGGAAGGACGACCGGGCTCTGCCAATTATCCACTTCCTTGGTAACACTTGGTAACACGTATTGGTAACACTTCCTTGCGATTCGAGAGTCAAATTAGGCAAGCCATAACCAATTGTTTCTTTGCTGTCAATCCTCGGATTGTTTACAGCACTAGGAGAGCCCTTCCATCCATTCAAAAGGATTGCGTCCCTACCAAACAAAAAAGTTCCGTCATTTATGAATTTACGTGCCAGTGTGATTCTGGCTACGTAGGGCGCACAACCCAAAGATTGGGGATAGGATAAAACAGCATGTTCCTTCCAACATACGAAACAAAACTGCCCCTCAAAGAGAACAGCCTCCTCGATCTTGTAGGTCTAGAAACACTGTTAAAACAAGTGATTCTGCCATTGGTCAAGATCTTTTAGACAACCCAGATTGTGCAAAACTCTATAATGACGACATGTTTCGGATAATTGGCAGAGCCCGGTCGTCCTTCCATCTAGCAGTTTTGGAGTCAATCTACATAAAAACGAAAAAGCCGCCATTGTGTAGACAAAAGGAGCTCGTTTTCTCTCTTGGACTCCATTGGTAATTTTTCTTTAGGCTCGCGGCACTGATTGGTCAACTATACCGGTCTTGTGCTTGCGTTTTTCTGATTGGCCTATTTCGATCCACAACTGGGTATATATTTTGTCAAACGTGTTTTTTCGGAACCTATTCTGACGTTTTATGCTCTGAGGAGTGTCAGACGAAAAAGCTTTAAGTATGTTGTAAAATGTTTGCTTTTTTCAAAGCCATTTTCAAATTCTGTACCGCAAAAAAATTGTTCAAATATATAATTGTAAAATTTTTATTTGATTATATAAAAAAGCTCCTTTTTTGGAGCAGACTTTTATTTTAATTATATAGAGCCGAAGATACATGATTTATGAGGAAAAGAAAAGAAACTAAGGTTCAAGAAACCAAATATGTAACAGATATTGACTAAATAGATAGTTCGTTAAATCCACGATTAAGCTGCAGTTACATAGATTTCTTATAAGTACACGAAAATTTTATGTTCTGAACAGGAAATTATTTCTCAATTTCTGAACTGAATTATTTTAAATTTAAATCTAAGCTGCTGTTTAAGGGTGAACTTTAACAAAAGAGATATCGTTTCTTAGGCTTTGGTGCTAAGCTTCTTTCATATCAAGCCCAAAGTTTACTCTACTGTTATAATCACTTTAATTCTTGAATCATTTTAACAGAGTCATATTTTCTGCAACATGGACACTACTGTGCAATGATCTTATGTTCTTTTGCAAACTCGTTTCAACTCCATCCGCCTTTGTTCTGTCCAAGACAGACCACGCCTATTTTGTTTCCAATACGCTCTAAATCGAATTGGTGCAGCTGCCTTGCTCTTTTAAATTCAGGAGATTCTTGAGAAAAGCATGTTTTCAGTTCAGTTTATTTGCGTACTGGAGTTCCACTAAGTGTTCTTGAGCAATAACTTCCAATTTATTATCCATCTCATTTTCAATGCCGTATTAAAGCTTTCCAGTCCCAAAAACATATGGTAGTGATTCAGCATTCAAACTTTGTTTTTAAAGTATGTAGGTTGTTGAACCTCTAAATTCAATTATAAAAATAGGACATTTAAATATGGTTAAAAATGGGACGCTTAAGATTTTGAAGCTTTTTACAAGCAAGGTTTCAATCTATTTCCGAAGAAGAATCATTTCCAAATGTCTAAAAAATACTGAACAAGTCATATCAATACTCAACAATGACCTCTCCCCCTTGAAAACATTGGCGTATCAAAATACAAAGCCGATTATTTTTAGAGGACTTACTTGGACCACCAATTTGTGTTCTAGTAATACACTAGCGTTCGTTCCTTTCTTATATTTAAGTCTACTTTGTTTTTTCTGTTTTTGCAATACCTCTTGAAATTTAATTTTCGCAATAGCACGTGAAGTTTCATTTTTGCTCAATACCAACGAGTTGTCATTTATTTCCTTAGACACATTCAACTATCAATGTGGAAGAGGTTTTAAATATGACACGATCAGATCCATCTTTTGAGTCGCTGTTTTCAGTTCTTGACGGTAATGTACCTATATTTATATCCATGCCCTTTATTAAAGTAGCATCGGCATAGTACGAATAACTAAGACGTTTTCTGAAGCATACACCTATCTACCTTTTTTAAATAAGATAAGTATGAATTTATGGCCTGAATCATTTCTATCCTTCTCAGTTTGTCCGTCTGAGAAGCTGAGACCGTCTGAGTTGGTCATTTTTGTTTAATTCATATACTGTCGATGTTGAGGTTTCCTAAAATATTTTTCTGAACAATGCTGCCTCAAATCCTTTATACCTGGTCATTCTAATCGAATCATATGTTTTATTCTGTGTTCAACAAATCAATGAAGGTGAATCATTTGAACTATTTTAAAGTTAATTAAAGAAACTAAATCTTAAGCTTCAATTATAGTTTTTTGTAAAAACAAAGTGTCGCTGCAAAATTGCTACCAGCAGCTATCTGATTTTGTAGTCCATAAAGAATGCAAAAATAGTCTCCCCTCTCGCTTATTATGTATGAGTAGGTATATTGTTTCACAGTTGTTTGTCCTTAATTTGACCCTCTTTTTAGATTTAAAACTGCATCAAATAATTTTAGTTGTCATAACACTACTCCTCGACGTTGTTTTTCTTAGTAAAATTTTCAGAATTCTTAGCTTTTTAGCTGGGGGCATTTAAACACTTTTCTGTTATGTTGTTTTTAGATTTGGATATAAGCCCCTCTGCGATGCAGACGCCAGTAAAGATGGCGGGTGTGCCAATCCATTGTTCGCAGTTCCCGGAATTTCAACCAATCGCGGATGGAGGATTTGAGTCAGATCGTTTCGACAATGCGGCTGCTCAGCTACTTTCCAGAACAAATGATGCGCCTCCTTCCCTGAATTTTTGTGAAAATGGTAAAATCTTTGATATGAGTTTATTTTGAATACAGGCTATTAGATACCTTTGAATACTGCAATATTTTAATGTTAAATATTTCGTAATCATATAACGTAATCATTTTTCAAAGAAATGTTTTGTGAGTGGAGAAATGTTATCAAAGCTTTTTGAAGTGTTGAATTTGAAAAACTAAGAGTGCAATCTTGATTATGTTTCCTTCACGTTTTGACGACCTTTGCGAGGCCTTTTGCTACGTCACAAACTATGTAAGCAGAATAAATTATTACGTCATTCGATGCCTTCCTTTTCTAGGACAACTCGAAGATTTTACAAACGTTTCCAATATGGATGATCAGAAGAAAACCGGTCCTGCAGCAAAAAGCGAGGTTTTGCAAGGAAAAGAGATAAATCTCGAAAACCAGGTTGGCAGCTCTTTGTGCAATTTATACATCAAGCAAACAAGACGCACCTCGAGGAAGAAATCGAAGCTGAAAAAGCAGCCTCCTGGCAAAAGTAAATTGCAAGCAGATGGAAAGGCGAAATGTATCATTCTTTCGGGTGCTGGGTCTGTGTCAAACACGAATAATCGTGATATCTGGAAGAGTGATTTTGTTCCTAATTTACTACAAAGAAACCTTGTGTTTGCGGCACCAAAAGATGACGTCATTTCATCTTCTGATAAAGAATTACCAAAAGGTAGCGATCAAGAACCAATCAAGAGCAAGGAAAATACGAAAGCCAGGACACGCAGAGTTGATATTGCCGAAGATAAAGGGTTCCTGTTGGATGGGTCTGAGGGATTTTCTTCCAGTAAGGATCGCAGTGTATCAACTCAATCAAAAAAGAGTACCCAGGGAAGAATTGAGTCAATTACAAATTCACAAGAGTTTGGATCTGCAGCATACGATGCCCAACCCCATGAAAATTTGACATACCTTCAAGAGCCAGGGTTGCTTGTATCAGCTGAAAGTGAATCATTTGTGAATAAGAGTTTGTTTAATGGTGATCTGGAAAGTAGTGAACCTATGCAGAAAACCCCTGGAGAATGCCGTACCGAACCGAATAAGGCTTTAGGCCCAAATAAGAAACAAAATTTGAACGCACCTGCTATACAAGAGGACGATTCTGCTTTTGGTGATAATTTTTCGAATCGATCCAATGGAGGGCAGCAATGTTTTACAGGGAGTCTGCCTATGAACCAGACAAAGAAGCATTCGTGTGCATCGCCAGCTTCAAACATTTTTGAAAAGATTAATGATTTGAGTATAATAAATAACCACGCGAAAAGGAACGATCCACAAATAGTTAGCAAAGAGGTACATGCTAAAGAAAAGTTTGATGTTACTAATGATACTGCAATCGACGATGTGTCCAGCGAAGATTATCGTCGTCTGGTTGGAGAAAAATGCTTAAAGAGTGGGGTGGCTACGTCGTGTAGTAGTACTGTGCAGAATGCTGAGAACGTCGCCAGTATTCCAGAATTAAAAAAAGAAAAGAAACCAAAAACTCGATCGTCTTCAAGAAATTCAAGGAAAAATTCAATAAAGTCGTCAACAGCCAAAGATTTAGAAAATTCATCAACCCTTAGTGGAACTTCCGAAAACTTTGAGAATAGTAGCGAGATTTTGTTAAATTCTGAGAAACAAAAAGGCAGTTTGGCCACTCAATTACAGACAAGAAGTGAAAGCAGCCTCCCTGATTCTTTAACAATTGAACAGCAAAAAAGTTTGTCAACAGATGCTAATTATATCGGTTCAAGAGAAGATTGTTCAAGTATTGAAAGAGGTCTAGTTTTTGAGAGTCGTAAAGACGAGGCTGGTCCTTCAACTGGAGAATTTGTCAGTGCTCCGTCTGGAGATGAGGCTGGTCAAGATCATTACATTAATGTTGATGTTATATTCGAAAATACTAATGAAGGAACAGTAGCGTTGATCAGACCGGTTGAAGTAAATGGGATTGAGCAAGGGCTACAGCCATATTTTGTTATTGAAGAGTTGTCTGAGAATCAGATGGTTTGTTCTGATGTACTTAAAGATGGGCATCCTATACTAATTAATGAGCGAGCCTTTCTTGAAGGTTCAAGCGCTTGTGTAGAGGATACATGTGGAGCTAAAACAGCTATGGAAAACATAGAAACAGCAAGGGTCGATGAATTTAAAGAAAAGACAGAGTTGGGCTGTAGAACTTTAGATGCAGATGCTAGTAGTCCAGAAAAGGGCGAGGCAACAGCTTCAGTTGACAAAGAGAGGCTATGTGTTGACGGTAAAAATACGTTCATTGGAGAGAAGCCCCTACCATCTGCACAGAGTAAGAGTGTTGCCCCTGCATTAGATCATAGCAAGACCCCAAAAGACAGAAGCCAAAACTGTTTTGATTATAACGACAGTCAGAGTCAACTAGAACCTTCGGTAAGCGGCACCAAAAGCAATAACACCACTTCTAACGAGATCAGTGATCAGGGACACGAGACTTCTGAGCGAATCAAAAGTCAAATTCTCTTTCTGAGCTTGCAAGCAGATGAAGAAGTTAAGGTGGATGCAGCTAACAAAGGTGGTAAACCGCTTAAGGAAAAGGATGCTCAGATTGTAGTACGTACAAATGAGAACTCTTTAGGAGAATTAGGTTTTAAAGTCACTTCGAGTGAGGTACTAACGGAGGAATCTATGAAGTCTAATCTTTCATCCCGCTTGATTGAGAGAAGTCTAACTAACGAAAATAACGTTGTTGTTTACTTGTCGGATGAGAGCAGCAATGCTTTGGACACTAAGGGCTCGTACCCCAGACTGGGATCGTCGAATTGTTCGCAACGTGTATCACCGCGCGCATTAGAAAAGAACAATATTATGTCAGTATGTAATGCTTTAAGTACAAGTTTGGAACACCAGGGAAAAGTGGAAACCGTGTCTCCTTACCAAAGAACGGCTTCATATAAGAGAATTGACCCTTTCAAGCGAACTGGAAGTTCCGGAGAGAGAATAAGCGAACCATTTCATAGTCAGGCTGGAAGTGGCTCATTAAGACAACAACAAGAGTTGGCTTCCATCAATACTACAGACGTCATCACATCAGAAGACGAATACGAAATTGGAACAAGAGAAATGTCGCGAATTCTCAATCTTTCTAATGACAATAAGAATTTAGAGCAGAGAAGCAGCAAAGCAAGGAAAAACACAACACCCAGAAAGAGAAAACGGCCACAACAATATGAAAATGTAAGCTTATTTGTTTACCTTAGTCAGTGAAATTTTTCTGTTCAGCGATGCAGATCTCAACTTCAACTACTTGTTGCTTAAGAGGTAGTAGGTTTTCTCACAATTTCATTATGTTAGAGAAGAGGAAGTTAACCCACTTATAACGTTTCCAAGTTTTAAATCTGTTCCATCCAACCATAGTTTTTTCCCCTGCTTCTTGCTATCTCTTGTCAAGAGATTTAAAATGCAATACCGAATGTCCTCTAATACCCTCAAGTTGTAAGAATCTTATAAAAATGCCAATCTTTCTATCCACACCTTTGAAACCTGTGTAACCTTCCTCTATTGCCAGATGTAATGGTTTAATTGTTAAGAGAAGAACGATAGACGCAAACTTTTATGAATCCACATGTTTTATGGTCCTTTGGCAGCTCATATTTTTAGTAATTTACATCTGTGTGAATATTAGAAGCAGCATAAGACATGGTCAACTTTGATATGTTGTGTAAATGCATCAGGAGAAATAGCATTTAAAATTTGAAATTTCTCTTAATACCTCATTGCTAAGGAAGAAGTGTATCAGGTAATTAAAACCGAAAGACCTAAAAGATATAGCAAATACCTTCCTATAGTTTAATAGTATAATGCAGATTCTTAGAGTTATGGTTCTCTACTTACTATAAATTGATTCCAATTTTTTTTCAGGATTCCACTCTTCATAAAGAGAAAGTCAAGGTATATTGATGTTTTGTTTGTAAACCTTATATGTGTAAAGCACTTATATGTTTTCTAATCTTCATTCTATGTATAACAACCTGTGTTCAGAAATACTGTGCTTACTTCAAAATGCATAATTCATAATATGGTGGAATTCATAATCAGTATAGTTAATATCTCTTTGCATTACAGGAAGAAGAAGCTGTTTCCCTGCCCGCTGATGTCCTAAAGGGACTGAATGTTGATCAATTTCTTTCCAAGCTTCAATATTCCAGTAAGTGAGATACCGGATATTAGAATCGCTGTAGTTCTATGCCACTGCGTGGCAGAAGAGTTATAATTTGCTGTATTACTTGACCCTGTTACAGTGTTTTGTCTAAAACAAAGCTGGCAAGCTTTAATACATGAACACCCGCACCATTCAATTGTGTGTGGATTCCAGCGTTGTTTATTAATGTAAATACATGGTTGAAACTTCTTTCGTTGCTAGTTTAGCGTCAATGCCGTTACGTTAGTTTCAAGACCGGGTGATTGTTAAGCTATTAGAATATGTCGCGTAATTTGTGAATAATTGTTTAATTAATCCATAGTCAATCGGTGATTAACTTTTTCATCTACACTTACCTGGAGAACTTGTTTTTAGGTAATATAGTATGTTTAATATGGATCTCACTTCTTTTTTCCTTATGTCCCCTTCCAGCACACGAAAATTAGATGTACGTGCGTATGATATAGGTGTAAATTCCAAGTTACAGGTACGACTCTTCACCCTAGACAAAAGAAAACGGCTCGGGGGGGGTACCTTAACATGTTTGAAGGTACTGAGACGTGCCATTATTTAGGGGTACCTTTTTTCTGAAAAGTGCGGAATTATCGGTATCACTTTTTGAAATGTGTGCGAAACTATGGGTACCATTTGAAAAAACATGCTGAAATATGGGTATCATTTTAGGAAAATATTGCAAAATTATGCGGGATATATTAGGGATATTTAGCAAACAAAATGAATGACCAGTTAGAAATAAGACTATGAAATATGTGAAATATTGAGATTTGAGGCAAAGCTCATGCAAAATTTGTTTAATGATTTTTATGTGCTTTAAAATTTTTATTCGATTTGCGGAATTATGGGTCACATTTTTTCAGACATTTGAGGAATTATGGGTCCAAATTTTTAACTAAAATGGCACGTCCCCGTCAAAAATTAGGCTTAGTTTACCCCCCGAGGAAAACAGCAATTACATTTCATGGGTATCAACCTGTTAAAATGTCGAGTTAGCGTTACTCGTACACTTGCAAACGCATGTTTTCCGTCATAACATTTCCCAAAGTGTCGTTGAACATTTTTTTGCTTGCTTATAGAGTGTTAATGGTTTGCAGGGAAGAAAAAAATACCTTACCTGTAATAATTCATTCGAAACACGCATTCTTGCATGCAGACTTATTGAAAACAATCATAAATATTTCTCAATATCTTTCAGAGAAGTCCTTACTAAATGATAACAATATTTTATGAATTATTTACTGGCTAAAATATTCTGTGGAATAAACATGTTTGCCGGCAAACGCTATGCCGATTAAGCGGGTATTGTCAAAAACTGTCCTTTTTAAAAGTAGTTTTATTGACTACATTTCATAAGATTCTGTTTTGAAGATTCCTATTTTTCCAACTTGATATTTTAGGAGCGCGCACGATTTTTCGAGTCAGTTTATGAATGACATCATAACCATTTATGACAAAAACATTATTGTTCATGGGGACTTGCCTTCATATATGATTTTCAAATTGGTTTTCTAAAGGCTTAACAGTTTTCGGTCAAGCGTTGACATTACTTCTAAGCCTAAAGCCTTAATTATTTCATCAAAGATAACATGAAATAATTTTCGACCTAATAAGCACTCGTCACTGAAAGTTTTCTACTGATCTTCTAAATGATATACAACAGGCCTTTCATTTGTTTCAGGAAGGTTTGAAATCAAAAGAATTCATCAAAAGTTTACCATTTTTCCTAAGCCTATAGCCTTACTTTTTCGTCAAAAATTCAACCTAAAAATAATGTTCAAACTAACCAACAAAGAATTCGAAAAGTATTCTAAGGGTGTTCTAAGTTATTTAAATAAGGCATTTTGGCAGGTTTAGCAGGGTATAATGGAAAAAACATTTCCTCAAAAATTCCCATTTTTCCTAAGCCTATAGCCTTACTTTTTCGTCTAAAATTCAACCTAAAAATAATGTTAAAACTAACCAACAAAGAATTCAAAAAGTTTTCTAAGGGTGTTCTAAGTTACTTAAATAAGGCATTCTTGCAGGTTTAGGAGGGTATAATGAAAAAAATATTTCCTCAAAAATTGCCATTTTTCCTAAGCCTATAGCCTTACTTTTTCGTCAAAAATTCAACCTAAAAATAATGTTAAAACTAACCAAAAAAGAATTCAAAAAGTATTCTAAGGGTGTTCTAAGTTATTTAAATAAGGCATTTTGGCAGGTTTAGCAGGGTATAATGTAAAAAATATTTCCTCAAAAATTGCCATTTTTCCTAAGCCTATAGCCTTACTTTTCCGGGTAGAATCAACCTAAAAATAATGTTCAAACTAACCAACGAAGAATTCAAAAAGTATTCTAAGGGTGTTCTAAGTTACTTAAATGAGGCCTTTTGCCAGGTTCAGGAGGGTATAATGGAAAAAATATTTCCTCAAAAATTGCCATTTTTCCTAAGCCTATAGCCTTACTTTTTTGGCTAAAATTCAACCTAAAAATAATGTTCAAACTAACCAAAAAACAATTCAAAAAGTATTCTAAGGGTGTTGTAAGTTACTTAAATAAGGCCTTCTGGCAGGTTTAGGAGGGTATAATGAAAAAAATATTTCCTCAAAAATTCCCATTTTTTCTAAGCCTATAGCCTTACTTTTTCGTCAAAACTTCAAGCTAAAAATAATGTTCAAAGTAACCAATGAAGAATTCAAAAAGTATTCTAAGGGTGTTCTTAGTTACTTAAATAAAGCATTTTGGCAGGTTTAGGAGGGTACAATGGAAAGAATATTGCGTCAAAAATTCCAATTTTTCCTAAGCCTATAGCCTTACTTTTTCGGCTAAAATTCAACCTAGAAACAATGCTCAAACTAACCAACAAAGAATTCAAAAACTTTTCTAAGGTTGTTGTAAGTTACTTAAATAAGGAATTCTGGCAGGTTTAGGAGGGTATAATGAAAAAAATATTTCCTCAAAAATTGCCATTTTTCCTAAGCCTATAGCCTTGCTTTTTCGGCTAAAATTCAACCTAAAAATAATGTTAAAACTAACCAACAAAGAATTCAAAAAGTATTCTAAGGGTGTTCTAAGTTATTTAAATAAGGCATTTTGGCAGGTTTAGCAGGGTATAATAAAAAAAATATTTCCTCAAAAATTCCCATTTTTCCTAAGCCTATAGCCTTACTTTTTCGTCAAAAATTCAACCTAAAAATAATGTTCAAACTAACCAACAAAGAATTCGAAAAGTATTCTAAGGGTGTTCTAAGTTATTTAAATAGGGCATTTTGCCAGGTTTAGGAGGGTATAATGGAAAAAATATTTCCTCAAAAATTCCCCTTTTTCCTAAGCCTATAGCCTTACTTTTTCGTCAAAAATTCAACCTAAAAATAATGTTCAAACTAACCAACGAAGAATTCAAAGAGTATTCTAAGGGTGTTCTAAGTTATTTAAATAAGGCATTTTGGCAGGTTTAGGAGGGTATAATGGAAAAAATATTTCCTCAAAAATTGCCATTTTTCCTAAGCCTATAGCCTTACTTTTCCGGGTAGAATCAACCTAAAAATAATGTTCAAACTAACCAACGAAGAATTCAAAAAGTATTCTAAGGGTGTTCTAAGTTACTTAAATGAGGCCTTTTGCCAGGTTCAGGATGGTATAATGGAAAAAATATTTCCTCAAAAATTGCCATTTTTCCTAAGCCTATAGCCTTACTTTTTTGGCTAAAATTCAACCTAAAAATAATGTTCAAACTAACCAAAAAACAATTCAAAAAGTATTCTAAGGGTGTTGTAAGTTACTTAAATAAGGCCTTCTGGCAGGTTTAGGAGGGTATAATGAAAAAAATATTTCCTCAAAAATTCCCATTTTTTCTAAGCCTATAGCCTTACTTTTTCGTCAAAACTTCAAGCTAAAAATAATGTTCAAAGTAACCAATGAAGAATTCAAAAAGTATTCTAAGGGTGTTCTTAGTTACTTAAATAAAGCATTTTGGCAGGTTTAGGAGGGTACAATGGAAAGAATATTGCGTCAAAAATTCCAATTTTTCCTAAGCCTATAGCCTTACTTTTTCGGCTAAAATTCAACCTAAAAACAATGCTCAAACTAACCAACAAAGAATTCAAAAACTTTTCTAAGGTTGTTGTAAGTTACTTAAATAAGGAATTCTGGCAGGTTTAGGAGGGTATAATGAAAAAAATATTTCCTCAAAAATTGCCATTTTTCCTAAGCCTATAGCCTTGCTTTTTCGGCTAAAATTCAACCTAAAAATAATGTTAAAACTAACCAAAAAAGAATTCAAAAAGTATTCTAAGGGTGTTGTAAGTTACTTAAACAAGGCATTGTGGCAGGTTTACGAGGGTATAATGAAAAAAATATTTCCTCAAAAATTGCCATTTTTCCTAAGCCTATAGCCTTACTTTTTCGTCAAAAATTCAACCTAAAAATAATGTTCAAACTAACCAACAAAGAATTCGAAAAGTATTCTAAGGGTGTTCTAAGTTATTTAAATAGGGCATTTTGCCAGGTTTAGGAGGGTATAATGGAAAAAATATTTCCTCAAAAATTCCCATTTTTCCTAAGCCTATAGCCTTACTTTTTCGTCAAAAATTCAAGCTAAAAATAATGTTCAAACTAACCAATGAAGAATTCAAAAAGTATTCTAAGGGTGTTCAAGGTTATTTAAATAAGGCATTTTGGCAGGTTTAGCAGGGTATAATGGAAAAAATATTTCCACAAAAATTGCCATTTTTCCTAAGCATATAGCCTTGCTTTTTCAGCTAAAATTCAACCTAAAAATAATGTTAAAACTAACCAACAAATAATTCAAAAAGTTTTCTAAGGGTGTTCTTAGTTACTTAAATAAAGCATTTTGGCAGGTTTAGGAGGGTACAATGGAAAGAATATTTCGTCAAAAATTCCAATTTTTCCTAAGCCTATAGCCTTACTTTTTCGGCTAAAATTCAACCTAAAAACAATGCTCAAACTAACCAACAAAGAATTCAAAAACTTTTCTAATGTTGTTGTAAGTTACTTAAATAAGGAATTCTGGCAGGTTTAGGAGGGTATAATGAAAAAAATATGTCCTCAAAAATTGCCATTTTTCCTAAGCCTATAGCCTTGCTTTTTCGGCTAAAATTCAACCTAAAAATAATGTTAAAACTAACCAACGAAGAATTCAAAAAGTATTCTAAGGGTGTTCTAAGTTACTTAAATGAGGCCTTTTGCCAGGTTCAGGTGGGTATAATGGAAAAATATTTCCTCAAAAATTGCCATTTTTCCTAAGCCTATAGCCTTACTTTTTCGGGTAAAATCAACCTAAAAATAATGTTCAAACTAACCAACAAAAAATTCAAAAAGTTTTCTAAGGTTGTTGTAAGTTACTTAAACAAGGCATTGTGGCAGGTTTAGGAGGGTATAAT